CTTAGATTAGGCGCTGCTAATACGTAGATAATGATTGGACAATCATATGTAGTGCTCCCACGCACGGACCCCTTTATGGCAGGCTTCCCCATTCTAGCGGACTTTCAATTTTGCTTCCTTTTAGTATATAAGGACTCCTCTCGCATTCCCACTCTGCGTGCTCTTTCCCTTCACACTCAGACTAATCCCCCGTGTGTATTAGATCGTGCCCGCGTGCCACTCGCCAGTTCGCGCTCGCGCAGCCCAGTCGTCGTATCACGACAATAGTATTTTGAAACTTGAAACTTGAAAAACGGCATCATGCACAGGAACATCACGTGTTTGAGTCATCAAAGCAGCTGATCTTATCTTATCTTTCCCCGCCGTTGCAAGAATTTCACGTTCACTCACTTTAGCTCGCTCTCTACATTACATCTTAGAGAACTTGCAACCACAGCTCGCAAATGTCCATTCAGATCTAGCAGTCATAATTTTTGAGCTATGATGTGTGGCTATCACAGCCAGCTGAGCAGAAGGTGGGTGCAGAGATGACACTACTGTGGCAAAAGGTCACCTACTGAACAGCAGCCGCTACTGCTATCGATGCGTCCCCGGCATCTAATGATTGATTGCTTTAGGCACTATCTTGTCAACATCGTTGGCATGTGGTCAAAAACGGAGCACCAAGCGTACTTGCTCCGAGAAGGAATGCTTGCAACTGCAGGCCCACAGTACCACCGACAAGTCCGTGCAGGCATCTACAACAGCTCCACCTTCGACAATGACGAAGCTTCAAAGCTTCATACAGCATTGCCGGGAAGTACCGGCCGCCGTCGCGGAGCGCCGTGATGCATTGGTACGTCTGTGCCCAGACGTGGTCCCCGAACTCAAAGAAAGCGAACGACACATGAACCAGCGCGACACCCGCGAGTGCGTCGCCGCAGAATCGAGATTGCCGACGGTCGCCTTGAAGCCTGCGCATCTAGTCAGCGCTTTTCTTGAAGACGCGTGGCAATGGGGAAGGCGATACCTTGACTGCTTGCATCCGCGGCAATTCACCGCGCAAACGCCTTGCATGTGCCCCCGTTTGATTCAACGAGCACGTACGTTGGATGCGTGTTCTTCGCAAAGAATTTGCAAGCGACACGGCGACCTACCAGGGAACCGAATTCGGTACGTCAGGTTGTATTCTTTGGTAAGTGTCCCGAACGAGCTACCCAGGCCTCCCGGTCGATGGCGGTTGTGTGATCCGGATACACCAAGTACTTGCGGAGGATTCGAGATCGGGTGGGTCACACTGGCTGCTTGAGAGAGCTAGTATCTAGACGAGCCATAATGAATATACATTGAGCGTGAGGACGCGGTATGTGTAATGTACCACACCATAAAGACACGTCGGACCCCATAGCATGTGAAACGGTAAGGATATGAGAGCTGGAGAAGCTATGTAGACATGACGGTGCCGCCTCTTCCGAAGTTTAAGAGGCCGGAAGCGAGCCCAACTTTGGACAAAATGCTGGGGCCTTGTGGCGTCCGGGGGTCGGCGGCGCTTTTAGTGCCGGCCGAGACCCCGACCTCTGCTCCTCGACGCCCACCATCAGTCGGTATCCGCCTCGCAGCACACATCCTTATGCAGCTTTATTCTTGAGAATTGCTGTAGAACACATCCCCAGATATGTCTCGCCCTTTGCGTAGTACCACTCCAGCAGCTCTCCGAACAACGCTGCCCGAGCTGCAGTATGCAAATTACCACATCCCGCTTTGAAGCGTCTCGCAGAGTTCGCCAGGCAACCGGGCTCCGGTCTGGGAACACCAATTGGGTGGGAAAGGTTGTTGGTTGGAAATGTATTGTGGGGCTGGGACTCGGGTGCGCACATATACTCACTCTCGGTCGACTGCTGGCTGAGAATTCACAGAATGACTTCAGGATACCGCGCCAAACCTCACAACGTCCGCTCGTATAAATCCCGCTGTGTGCCGCTACCAGGATCGAACTCTTCGAGTCGATGATGAAGGAACCAAAGACTTGCAGTTCAGACGTAACAAGAAGGGCACTGTTGCTACGATCTACGTGAACACATATTAGAAATACTGGTCGCGCCATGTTTCAAGATTCAATCCGTTCCGAAAAGCTTAGGATCGGTGTCAGGCAGCGCATGAGAGGGAAGGGGGGGGGGCGGGCCTGAAGCTCGGGGACGCCAAGTCATGTGCAATGTTGAGTGAGGCATCGTCGGGTTGAAGAGTAAAGCCACGAAAAAGCGCACGGGTGCCTGAGCTACTGCGCACTTTTGCGAAGCGACCCGAATCCTCGTACGTCTCTCTGATTCTCGAGTCATCTTTCACTTCTGATTGAGATCATTTGACGTAGACAATATTCTTCGTGAAGACGCAAATCGAGAAGAGCTCATTGCCGTCCCTCGCATTATCGCGCTCAAGAGCACTCGCTGGCTCTATTCCTTTACCAGCTATGAGGAGATGCCAGCTGAGACTTGGCAATATATGCTCGAGATGCGTGTTTTCTCCGCCGTTGCGGAGCGTCCCACACGTCTATCTCGACAATGTTTGCATCCACATCGGCAACGCAGTACGAATGTACTCAGCGGCTCAACGCGCGGATGACGCCAGGCGCACGAAAATCTTTGCACAGTGGTCGTCTGAGAGCGACACCCATATGTATGTATAGCCTTTTATCTGCGTACACGAATGCCTTGTGCTCAATTCATTTTGCGGTGCACAGTGCTTCGCGAATTGGGTCGTCCTGGGCCCACTGACGAACCGAGTGGACAACCTACGCTTTGAGGACACCTACATCCAGGATGTGGATCACGTCGAGTCGGCGACTGCGATCCACAACATAGAGTCACCGTTAGTGGCACCGACCTCTACTTTTCCCAGGCGGCCTTCATTGCATATTCGGGTGTCCTGAAGCCCAGGCAAAGCCGCATGCACCTATAGTACCTGCTGCGACATCATCTTCGCTACGACAAGAATTATGCTAGAGCCTGCGAGTGCGATAATGATGACACCACCTCTCGCTCTCTTTGGTCGCTGGTCTGTACCGTCCCTGCCCTCGAAAGTGGTGTCTCTCCTTTAGTCCCAACAGCCATTTTTCTTGAGACCGTAACGAGAAGATGATGCTCCAAGGTTGCCAGTGATCTTACGTTCAATACCCAAACGCCTCTTGTCCCTTTCCCGTCCTCCGCAACACGGCGCCGCCCCCAACTCCCCGACCTCGCGCCCCGGCCGCGGCAGTGTCTAACTGTCGTGCACACTCGATGACCTAGAGGAAGACGAGGAGACTGCGGAGGCGCCTGACCAGCACGGCGCGGGCGCACTACGCAGTAAACACATCAGACGACCTCGCAGTACCGAGCAGCCTACCGCCGACACTACTCTCCACTGCGGTCGCCGCGATGCAGAAGGACACTGCGTGGCAGGAGCGTCCTTTGCTCTCTGCAGTCGCGCCTTGCACGACAACCGGTAGCGATAAAGTCGAACGGCGCCGGCGAGGGCAGGACCAAGCGCCGGCCACTCCCGCTCGAGAACCTCAAGATGAAAGCAGCTAGTTTACGTGGGACGTCGCTTTATGGCATGGCGGCCTCGCTTTAGCTTTGGCCATGGTCGTCCTCACTGTCTGTAGATTCGATTAAGCACGTTATCTTACCGCGTTGGGGTCTGCACCACGACTTTCGCCTCCTTCGTCG